CTGTTTACCGCTTCACCGATTTTTGCAGGTTACGTGATTCTACTGGTTCACATTTTTCACAGACGTGGCTCCTGCGTTACCAGAACAAAGAGGGACACAGACATATATTGGTGAGAAACAGGTAAGCATATCGGTAAACGTAATGTGGTAATTTGTAGGATTCCGACAAGCATTCTTTGATCTTCTTCCTTGAGTTACAATATATACCGCCAGGAAAGTAAAGGACGAACGGATAAAGTGTACACTATTCATATTTCTCATATTTGTGTTTATCGAAAGTATAATTATTATTACTTTGTCAATAAAGTTACTCAGTTGTTTTGACGCAACTGCTTACTCAGTTGTTTTGACGCAACTGCTAAGTTGAGAAAAGGTCTCCATTGGGCAGTGTCCAGACTTGTCGCGCTTCAACGCCCGTCAATTGTAGCGCTTCAACGGCTGCCCTTAAACACGCTACAGTTATGCTACAAGTGTACCAGACCCCAGCTTCCCTTTATGTTCTCTCTTCCGGTATTCAACCCTTTTTCACTGTTTCTCATTTCTACCTGATTCTTAGCTCCTCTTTTTCACTTTGACATTGAATTTTAATGTAGTTTTGACGTTTTTGACGACGAAATTCTTAAACGGTATACAAAATCATTATCACAGTGTCCTGTATCAAAAACTACATTAAAATTCAATGTCAAAGTGAAAAAGAGGAGCTAAGAATCAGGTAGAAATGAGAAACAGTGAAAAAGGGGTTGAATACCGGAAGAAAGAACATAAAGGGAAGCTGGGGTCTGGTACAATGTAATTGTAACTGTAGCGTGTTCAAGGGCAGCGTTAAAGCGCGACAAGCCTGAACGCTGCCTTAGCTCCATTAGTTTTTTTTCCAATATATTCATCGGTTTCAGACTCAGTATCCATTGAATATGGGCTTTTTTTACATTTCCATATTCATATTATTCATATTGTTCGAGTCGGGCTATAACATGGTGTAACTGATTGAACAGCGTAATGAGAGGTCAGAAGGCACCGAGCAAGCAAGTTAAGGGAGGTCGTACCGCAGGCGACTCTTCCACTATGAGAAAAGAGGTGCGAAAAAGTGCACTGGACAAACGTCTCATACTCGCTACAAAGGTATGAGATGAAACAGCCAGGAAAACGTGACCTTTTATGACATTAATGTTTTTGACTACTACACAGCAACACACACCGCTAATTGGCGCGCGTTTTGCTTGCAGCGTTGAAGGCACACGACTATCTTTTAACAGGCGAACATTCAGCGACGAAATGGACTAGCGATAGTGATAAAGGAGATGAGACAATGGAGTCATTCACTGCTGACGCCATTTGAACGAGAGTGACGCTGAGGGCAATAGCCATGCGTAGAACAAAAAGTGGCAACGAGTTCTTCTGTGCAACATAAAGTGCTTGACATGCTTCTCATGGATCGTATTCAGCGTTTTATTGTCGATTTGCCTGAGGTTTATACATTCACCAAGCAATACTATCATAAAAACCGGATTCCATCATCAATATGGCAAAAAAAAACTCGGAGATTTGCTCGACACGTATACACTCTTGTTTGCCGCGGATCATGGGGCGTGTCAAGGGGCAATGGATCAGGCCAGGCGTCAGACCGTTTTTTTCTTTCGGAAGGCGACAAGAGACTATCATATAGTTTGTGTATCGTTTCTATCAGTTGTGTTCGCTTCCACCGCAAATCCAGCTGTCTGCCCCCTACTGTGCTTCCCATACTCTAT